TATATATATATATATATATATATATATATATATATATATATATATATATATATATATATATATAGACTTTTTGAAAAGAAATTTTAAAATATAAGGTTATATAGATATCAAATATTATTTTAAAAGATTATAAATTAAAAAATACTAATATTGAACATAATATGATCCAAAATGAGATGATTCAAAAAAATTATGATTCAACATCTTATAATTCTTAATTTTTTATGATCTAAAATATTTTGATTCAGATATTTTATGATCATTAATTATATATTCTATGATTTAAAATTAAATGATTCAAAAAATATATTGATGCAAAATTTGTTATTAACAAAAACTATATTAACTGAATATATTATGATCCATAATCATATGATTAAAAAATGATATGAACCACAATTTTATGATCCAAAATGCTATGATTTAAAAATTATACGATTTGAAAATATTATATGCTACTAAATATCTTATGATTTGAAACTTTCATAATTGTCAATTATCAAAAATTCAAACCAATATTTAGTTAAAAAAAAGCAAAAAGTAAAAAACAAAAACAAAAAATCAAAAAAAATCAAAGATGATGTTCCAAAAAAAAATGAAAAATAAAATAAAAAACTAAAAACCGAGTATATTTATATTTAAATATTTCTTTTAACTAAATAAAAAATAAAAAGAAAACAAAACGAAATTATAGAGAAAAACTCACTTAAATGATGTTTCATGGATGTTCGTCGCGCGTGATTATATTCTCGAGTCCGTATTACGTTCCACAAATATGTGTTGTATGCAAACACGTCACGTCCATAGATTGAGTTTGACATTTTGTGCCTTTTGACGAAGTGGATGACGAAGAATTGTTCTTACAGTCCTTACTATTTTTTGAGCAGTCACTAAATCTAATCCCCCCCCCCCCCACACACACACACACACACACACACACACACACACACACACACACACACATATATATATATATATATATATATATATATATATATATATATATATATATATATGGCTAGGTTATTATATTTTAACTATCTATTCTGTGGATATAGGGTTGATTGTGGACAAATTATTTTAGTTATTTAAAGAAAGTGATTAATAAATATTATTGAATTAAAGATAATTAGAAAAATCATCTAATTTCATTGTAAGGGTCTTTTAGTCAATTAACATAATTTTAAAATAGAAAATTTGCGGATTTTAGGGAATAATTAATTCTCTTAACTTTAAAAATCTGATTTTTCTGGTAATAATTTTATTAAATTGGACATTCTAAAAGAATGTGTTTATAATTATCTTGAAAAAAATATTATACTTTGACTGAATACTATAAACATATATTATCAAGATCAATAAATTTTAATGAATACAAATTTGAATATTTTAGAATCAGTAATTACATGCATTCTTAAAGAATACAATTATGAACATAAATTACATTCATTATTGAAATCCCTTGCAAAAAAATATTGTTATTCTTGAAAGAATCCCCATTCACCTTCTTGGTTTATTCCTGTATGTCTTATGTATGTTTGACCTTTAAGCCACTTCAAAATACGCTAGCATTATGTGAGATTAACATTTTGTGAGGACAAAAATGCAAAAATGGTCCCTGTGCTTTGTCATTTTTTGTGGATATGGTCCAAACCTTTTAAAAATTGGATTTATGGTCCTTATTGAGAGGTTTTTTGTGGAACAAGTCCCTGGAGTTAACTTCCGTTTGTTTGTGGCTCTTAAACCCCTCACGTGCATTGCACACGAGGGCATAAATGTCTTTTTACTTGAGGGACCATTTTTACAATTCCTGAACTAATATATAGAGACTTCCTCAATGTTCAAGTTCTTCCCCAAACGTTGTTCTGCAACTTTCAAGTTGTTCTTCCTTCTCTCATCTCTCTTTGTTAACGGTCGTCTTGTCAGTTAATCACACGATGGTTCTCTGTTTTTGTGGTAAGTTTGTTGTTGTTAAATGCTCATGGACACCGAAGAACCCAGGCAGACGTTTCTATGCTTGCCCTCAAAAGGTAAAGAAATCCGTTTGCACCCATTTTGATTTGTAATCAAATAACATTTGTTATTTTCCCCTTTTTGAAGGATTCTGCTTGTCGCTTCATCGGATGGGTTGATCCCCCCATGTGTGAAAGGTCTAAAGTCATTATTCCTGGACTATTGAGAAATATGAACCGAATGCAAGCTTGGTGCACAGCTCTAAAGATTCTGTTGTTGGCTAGTTGGGTGTTTTTTATGATTTTGTTCATAAGGTCTGTTTAGGTTTAGGTAATAGGGCAATGGGGTGGGGTTTTTTTTGTTGAAGATCGATAAAAGTGTGGTTTTTGGGTGAATTAATGGTTTTTGGTACTTTGACCTAGGTTCTTTGTAGTTGTTTGTAAGGTCAAAGTAAGTTGTTTATGTAGTAACTGACTTCCTGATATAAATATGAATTTTATGGAATTGCTTATGTTGTTTGTAAAGTTCTTTGTAGTTTTTTGTAAGGTGAAAGAAAGGTTAATGTGAATAATTGACTGTAATTACATAATACACAAAAATAACCAAAAACCATAATAACCAAGGCTGCAATTACATAATAGACTACAAGCATATAGTGCAATTACATTATCCCAAAATATGCAACCATATATATGTTCTAATACTTATCATACGAATGAAAACCAAAATAACCATAAGTCATAAGTTTTTTAACATCAAAACACTTCCAAAAGTAGCAAATAACATCTGCCAAAACAAACACAGCCTTGATCTTCAACTTCCACCTAACTTCCACCTCCTTGACCTTTGCATGTCCTTGAGTTGTGGCCTTTGTTTTTGCATTTTGCACATGTTACACTGACATATTTCCTTGTTAATTTTTGAACTCCATCAGGACCAACTTTACAACCTTCTTCCTGACTTACACCATGAGTACCACTCTGATTTTGACTCCCTCTTTGACTCTAACTCAATTTTTCATCCTCACTTTTCTTCCTCTTCTTTGTAGGCCTACCTCGTTGCTTATGATGTATTGGAGGGATAAGAGTGGTGGGACACAAACTTTTAGGCCACATTATTCTTCCTTTTATGGGCTCTACCTTATAGGAATATGCATTCTTCCATGTATCCAACCAATATACCTTATTGACCCACCTATAAATGTCACCAACATCCTCTGAGTTCTTGGTCATTTCATAAAGGGTTGCAATGGCATGTTTACAGGGGATGCCTATTAGCTCCCACTTCCTGCAAGTACATGTGTTGTTCCTAACATCTACAACATGTTGATCTTGCCATGCCCCAGTGACTTGGTATTTCTCACCCCCATTCCACCTAGCAATGTAATGTGATGCATGAGACTTGTTTACATCCAATGTGGTTGTTGCAGTGGGTGTTAAAGGCCCTTTTGCCTTGTCCATCACCTTCATAACATTACAGATTCTTTTCATCACGTATTGTCTAATATACTCCAAACAACATATGATAGGCTTATCTCTTCCCTCTATTATCTTGTTGTTAAATACCTCACAAAGGTTGTTTAACAGTATATCAGAGATTGCTCTACTTGTTAAAAAGAATAACATGTTGTTTTAAGTACAAGTCCACATTTAACATATAGTAATTTATGGTAAGTTATGTACCTGTAAAATGGCTTCTTGCCCAATGTTTTGGAGGATTCTTTCTAAGCCATTCACATGTCTCCTTGTCATAGTTGCTAAATTCTCTCATGCAATGTTCAAATTCAGGTATAGTGGTTGCAGTTGCACATCTCCATAAATGATCCTTGTACTCTTTCAATTTCCATTTCACTCTCATGTTCCGATGTATGTGCCTGAGACAATACCTGTGCTCAGCACATGGGAATAGTTGGGCTATTGCTGGTATTAAACCCTAAAACAATAAAAAAAAATTAAGTATTTAGTTTATATAATAATAAGTAATTAATAATACAAGTTAGAAAGAGATACCTTTTGTCGATCTTTGATAAAAGTAAAGTTGGAGTTTGAACCAAGATCCAAGTCTTCTCCTAAACACTGCAAGAACTATATCCAACTACTTTTGTTCTCTGTCTCAACAATGACATAAGCAAGGTGGTAAATAACATTGTTAGAGTCCAACCCAACTGCAGTTAGAACCTGCCCAGGAAATGGTCCTTTCATATGCGCACCATCGAAACCCAAAAGATCCCTGAGGCCAGCCTTAAACCTTTTTTCAGGGGACCTAAGCAAATGTAGATTCTTTTAAACCTCCTCGTTGGGTTTGATTAGTTTTGTTCACTTTAAACATCAATCTTGACAGTTGTGTCAACATTGGTTGCTTGCAATTCAAGGACATAGTCCCTCAAGATCTCATATTGTTTCGTATAGTCACCTTCCACGATCTTAGTTGCAATAGCCTTGGCCCTGAATACTTTGTCAATAGAAACACCAACCTCAAAGTCCTTTTGAAGTTGTTCCTGCAATGCTCGAAGAGGAATCCCTGGATTCGTGTCGATTTGGTCCATGATTCGCTTGGATATAAAAGTAGCAGTGCAAGCTCTAATCTTCCTACTTTGAAGGCAAGTATGGTTGTCATTTAATGTCCTTACAAACCAGGGAGATTCCGTGTTTGACCTAGAAGCATGAAGGAACCAACTACAATTTACTTTTTATGAATTTACCTCTTTGCCCTTGCTTTTATTTTTGGTATTAAGGCCCACCACCCCACTTGCATTCATGACATGGACTACACCTCTACACAATTCCCGAAGTCTAAGCTTGTCATTCTTTTTATAATATAAATTCCTCCTATTTTCTAATGCGTGCATGTCAATTTTTTCTTTTACATCTTTCTTTGATTTAAAGTTTTGCCCAACATAAAAACTGGCCTTATGGACATTGCCAAGACTGCATCTTTTCTCCTTAGACAAATTCTTAAGAACACATATTCTTTTCCTTTCATCTTCTGACCCTTCATCTAAAGAATCCCATCTATCATTGTCAATGACTTCTATGTCCTCATGTTCATCATTTGTCCCAACCCTATTATGAAATCCATCCATTTGAACACAACCATCATCCTTATCAAGATTGAGGTTAAAGTCAGTCATATCCACCTCCACTTCTGATACATCGTTTTCATCATCAACAAGTTCATCATACTGTTCTTCTGATTGTTGCCCAAGATCATCACTTTCATCAGACTTTTCATGTTCAGACTGATGGTCTTCAACATTCTCAGCTTCTGGTGGTTGATAATGTTCTCCATTAAAAGGATCAAAGTGATCATGAGAAAAGTTCTCATAAGGAAAGTCATCATAATCAAAGTTATCATGGTCACCACCTTGATCTTGTACCACATCATCCATGTTAGCATGCTCAGCATCTTGATCTTGTACCACATCATCCATCTTAGCATGCTCACCAGCTTGATCTTGTACCGCATCATCTAATTTAGGATTCTCACCACCTTGATATTGTACAACATCATCCAATTTAGCATGATCACCACCTTGATCTTGTACAACACCATCCATGTTCTGTATACACTTCAATGACCTTGTTATCTCCAATATATTGAGCCAAATTCAAGACATCATTATCATTCCCTAAAGCTCTAAGACCAAAATCCAAGTCTTCATAAGGAATCCTAAAATGGTAATATATTATTGGTGGTACAGAGTAACCTAGCTCTAGCATCATTGCGTCTAGTTCATGAACTGAGAACTCATCAGTGTCTACTAAATCAATATATCGCACTTCACCTTTAACATATTTCGTGTTTGGAAGCTTGGTAAAATTTCCACCATGGTGTAGCTTTATGGTGAACATTGTTGGTACACGCTTTACAATATACAAAAAACATTAAGTAAAAAATTATCAGATGTTTGTATTTTTGGCTCTGTTCTTCAGATCATCAAGAAACCCAAGAAAATTTCGTAAACACAGGATAAGTGAAACTAACCATATTCATTTGTGATGTCATACGTCTCGCCTTTTGGCCTAATCGCCCACATTACGAACACCATTTACAGTTGAAAAGCAAAAACAAGTAAACACCTTGGACCAAATCTTGATTAGGGTTTTTGCGTTCAAAATGAATGACGAAGAAGATGGAAGTGGAAGAGATAACTAAATATTTTTTGTGTAATATGGCGCTAAGACGGTAACAAGTGGGTTTAGTTCAGGAATTGTAAAAATGGTCCCTCAAGTAAAAAGACATTTATGTCCTCGTGTGCAATGCACGTGAGGGGTTTAACAGCCACAAACAAATGGAAGTTAACTCCAGGGACTTGTTCCACAAACAAACCTCTCAATAAGGACCATAAATCCAATTTTTAAAAGGTTTGGACCATATCCACAAAAAATGACAAACCACAGGGACCATTTTTGCATTTTTGTCTTTTGTGATATTGACATTCTTTCATAATTGCATTGCATGAGAATGACTTTATACAAAAAAATGTATAATAATGGCGAAGAATTACATTTATTCTTAAAAATTAAAACTATGAATGGTTAAATAAAGAAAAAAAATATCAAAATCTAACAAAAACACTAATCTATTCTATAAGAATAATATTCCTAAGAACCAATTTATACATTCTGGCAGAATAATACTGCCATGAAATCAAATTCTGTCAGAATGAATGTCGTGAGAATAACAAGCTTTTATCTTCTGTTCATGACCTATAAAAATAATAAGAGCATTATGTGAAAAACATATATGATAGTAATAAAAATAGAAGTGAATAGCTTATAAGTTATAACTCTATAATAATATACTATTATGAAAAGGCAAAATTGCAAGAATGGTCCCTATTGTATGTCAAAACTAGCAACTTTGGTCCAAAATGGGTTTGGCTCGCAAAGATGGTCCAATAGTTTCGTTTTGTTGCGAGTTTAGTCCAATTTCCTATGAACTTTTTTATAATGACGGATTTGCCCCTTATTATTTTATTTTCCATTTTCATTTATTACAACAATTAAAAAACAATTAAAAATAAAACAAAAATAAAATATCTCTCTCTCTATCTCTCTCGTCAAGAGCTTTTTCTGGGTTTGTTCTTGTTCACCTTCCCTATTTTCGTTGTTTGTTCATACTCATGTTTTGAATGCCTAACCCTCCACGAGAGCTCCATCCAACTGGTCCCTCTTTAACCACCCTTATATTTGGGCTTTAATCCCAACGAAAAACCCCCTGAAGCCTCTGAAGCCTCTTAAGAGCCCAAGCACACACACATATACACACAATCACATTCATAAACCCCATATCGGCGATCTTCACCTTCTTGCATTCACTCTCTCTTTTTTCTCTCTCTTTCTCTCTCTCACATACACATAAACACACACACAAACTCTTTATCTCTCTCTCTTAGGGTTAGCAACAAAAATAAGAAACCAAAATTGACCAAGGAAGATGATGTTGCCACAGTCTATCTCTCATTCTCGTCATCGAGATAGAGAAAGACGTTCAAAAACCCTAAACGGCATGCGATAGTATGAAGTCCAGTGAAATGCCGCCACCACTGTGAAGGGCTTCAAAACCCACTTGTGATGGTGGTTTGCTAGAAATCGAGTCAGAGAATGAGATCGTGTAACATCCCAAGTTTTGTCATTTGTACTCCATGGGGATGGCAGGGTAAAGCCAAGAAGAGCCTAAGGGCTAAATTGTAATTTTGGGGCCAGGAGGAGTACGCTGCGCGTAGATAAGGATACGTTGAGTGTACTAGGGCGCGCCCTAGTACTCTGGGCGTACACTTGTGTACGCTGGGCGTACTCATAACAGAAGGAAACCCTAATATCTCGGGTTGGAGGCTATATAAACATCCTTATGGCTCATTTTCTCTCCTCATTATCATCCTCCATCTTCCAGAAATGCCCCCAAACCCTAGATCTTGTGTGTGAGAGTGAGTTGGTGGTATTTTGAGCTCTTGAAGGTGAAGCCATTGCAACAAATAGTTGAAGAAGGAGATTGGCTTGTAGATCTGAAGGTAAAAAAGCTTCAAACTTTATGCTTGTAGGTCAAAGATCTAGCCTTTCTAGCATTATGGAACCATTTCTTGTCCCAAAAGTCCCAAAATGGTGCATGTGATGATTTGGACGAGATGAGCTGTCCTTTCAGACTCTTGAAGGGGTTTTAAGTGTTAAAAATGAGGTCCCAATGGCTTAATATGTCCCATGCATGTAGTAGGAAGGTCTTAATGGATTAAGACCTTAGATTAAGAGCTTTCTGGACGTCCAAAGTGTTAAAGTTCGAGACTTTATGAGTCCAAGGCACATTTGGTCACTGGATCTGAGGTTTGGGCTTAAGTGCTTATGCCATTAAGCACTTATTAGAGTTTTTGCAAAACTCACGTACGCCCCGCGTAAGAATCTGTACGCCCAACGTACTGGGTCAATGATCCCGTTTTCCAGTCAACGCGAGACTCACGTACGCCCCGTGTAGCCTTGGGGTACGCCTTCTGTGGGCTTTTTGTGATTTGGGCTTCGGGTGTTGGGCTGTTCATGGACTAGTTGGACTTGGGCCTTTGCTGGACTTTATGGATATGGTGTTTTGGGCCAAGTCTTGATAGTGGATCTTGGAGCTGGGCCCATTTAGGAAGTTGGGCCCAATTTGGTAAATTGGGCCAATATTAGGCCTTACACATATAGACTTGTAGATCATGGATTGGTATTGGGCCTTGGCCCCAAATGAGAGAAAAGGAAAATTGGACTAATATTATTTGTGGGATTCTTGGTCAAGATTAATATTCCTATTTTTGACTTATTGCTCGCTATTTTGGATAGCTCGGGATTTTTAGTGAGTCGGTGATTTGGGAGTTTGATTCTTCATTTCAGATCAGCTTTGCAAGGCGATTTATCCTCACTATATCAACAGGGTCTAAGGCACCAAGGCCGGCCCTTTATCGAATTTGTATCCGAGTATTTGCTTGATATGTTTATTGATCTGTTAGATCTGTATCCTGGTAGTTAGGATGGTATTATGTTAGTGACCTGGTTTAGGTCGGTATCCTGGTATATAGGATGATGTTATGTTAGTGACCGGTTAGGTCGGTATCCTGGTTTTAGGATGGTTGTTGTGTTAGTGATCTGTTAGATCGGTATGATTATCTGTTATATACATGCTAGCGTATGATATTTATGTGCACATGATTGTTTGATTGGTATGGGGGTTGGGTTGAGGCGGGTCCTTCTTTGTGCTGTAGGCCAACATACCCAGGGTGGACCAGATAGACTGTAGGCCAAGGAGGGCACACAGTCAGGCCGAAGGCCCGACGAGTAGTCCAGATAGGCTGAAGGCCCCGAGAGGGCGGACCAGACGTGCTGAGGCTCAGAGAGTGGACTAGATAGACTGAAGACCCGGTGCGAGCGGTCCAGTCAGACTGTAGACTCAGAGAGTGGACCAGGTGGACTGAAGGCCCGGTGCGGGCAGACCAGTCACACTGTAGACTCGAGATGCATGGTTGTTCTGTGTTTTTTATATGATATGTTATGGTTGTATGAGGTTGGTATTTTGGGGGTAACTCACTAAGCTTTCGGGCTTCCAGTTTCAGTTTATTGTTTCAGGTTCAGCAAATGACCGCGGGAAGGCGAAGACGTGACCGTACACTTCCTCGATTTATGTTTATGATTTCTGGGAGCTCTGATGTTTAAACTATTTTGGAAAACAAATTGTAATAACTGAATGGTTTTATATGATTTAAAAAGTTTTAAATTGGCTCAAATTTTATGGATGTTACAAGTTGGTATCAGAGCCTTGGTTTGAGTGTATTGGAGGAACACTCATGTGAATCCAGTCTCAAATCAAGGAAGGATTTTCAAAATGATTTTTAAAGGGTTTTCAAAATAAGTAAAATAGTATGTGAAGTGTACGATCAGCCGAAGCCAGTAAGTAGACCCCAAAATACCATGCAGTTATTTAATATTGTGATATGTTAGAACAACATGCTAGTACTAGGCTAGGGATCTTCAGGAATTGCACGATAGAATTGCCTGATTTCATGATGCCTGATAGCCTAGAGTTTTCCTCATATGAAATTGACATCATTACTGTATTTGCTTAGTGTATGCATCACGACTGTACATAATTAAGATCCTATAGCCTGAGAATGTTTGGTTTAGCTTTATTTCCTGTTCCTCGTATGGTTGTGGGCTTAGAGTAGGACCGAGTATTCGAATGTCTATAGGGTTCAGCGTTATGTATGGCTAGCATACACTAGTGTTGCAGGGTTGGTGGAAGTTTCATGGTCGGGTGAGTCGTGAGAGGTCGGGAAGCCAGTTTTGAGATATTCAGTATTCCTATAGGAGTGAGGATTGATCGCTCGCTATGTTTATGTATATTGTTAGGGTGTTGTGGTGATACTTGAGACAAATATGGGTAGGTGTGGAAGGTAGTATGGGCCCGTACTACTGAAAGCACAGGACACATACGCGTAGCAAGGAAGTCACAACCCCTAGGGTGTGGTTGGGATTAGGTCCCCAGTCGTTTGTGCGGATCGTCTGATATCTTCATGTTATATTTTCAGTATGGTGG